GATGCTGCTTGGCCTGCTGTGTTCATCCAGCCCTGCACCTTGTTGTCCCCTATATCATGATCACTTTGTGCCTGTTTTCACTGAAGAAGAAAGAAGAAGTCTCCCAGAATTAGAAGTCAAAGTGACAAGGGAGAATGATAATTTGAAGGAAATTAGTATTAGAAAGAAGGTTGTACTGGTGAAATTAAATGGAGCTGGAACCTAATAGTCCACACCCCAGAGTGTTGAAGGAAGAGGCTATAAAAAAAGTCAAAACATTGGTACCCATCTTCCAACATTCCATTGATTCTGGAATAATTTCTGCAGATTGGAAGCTTGCAAGTGTCACTCCACTATTTAAGAAAGCAAGGGAATAAAAAACTGGGAACTTCAGGCATGCTAATCTCAAATCATTAGTAGGAAAAAATCCAAAGGGTGCAATAAATGGACACCTGGATAAAAATGATCTGATTGGGCATAATTGAGCATAGTCAGCATGAATGTGCAAATGGAAACAAACTTGGACTTGTTTTCAGGATGTTATTAACAAGTTTGATAAAGGGGAGTCAACAGATGTAATATATCTGGATTTTCAGAAGCTTTTAATAATCACTCCCACATGAGGTTGGTTAGCAAAATTAAAGCAGATGATATAGGAAGTAATACATTGGCATGGATTAAGGATTGGTTAACAAACAGAAAACAGACAGAAGGAATCAAAAGGTCATTCTCGCATTGGCATACTGTGACTAGTGGGGAATAGCAAGGATCACTAATTCAGCCCCAGCCGTTCACACTGCATAGAAATGATTTGGATGTGGGGACCAAACATAATATTTCCACATTTGCAGATAATACAAAGCTAAGTGGGAATATGTGTTGTGAGGAAGATGAAAAACAGATGGAATGTAATGTAGAAAAAGGTGAGGTTATGCATTTTGGTAGCATGTAGAGCATTTCTTAAATAGTGCGAAGACAGAAACAGTCAATGTGCAAAAGGACTTGGACTCTCCTTTTCTATAAGTCACCAAAGACTAACACGCAGGTGCAGGAAGCTGTTGGAGTCAAGTGGAATGTTAGCCTTTACCACAAAAGGATTTGAGTAGAGAAAAAGTGAAGCCTTGCTTCAGTTGTATAAGATCTTGGTACAGTTTCGGTTTCCTTCTCTCAAGAACGATATTATTGTCAGAGAGCGAGTGCAACAAAAATTGCCCAACTTGGTCCCGAGATAATGGGACTGCCCTATGATGGGATCACCCTATGGGTAGGCTTTAGGCAACTGGGCTTGCATTCTCTAGAGCTTTGAAAAATTAGAGGTGATCTCACTGAAACCAGAAAAGCACTTGAAGGGAGTACAGGATGGATGTAGATATGATTTAAAAATAAGGAGAAAATTATTTTGCTAACAGGGTGGTGAATCTTGGGTATTCTCTACCCCAGAGAGCTGTGGAAGCTCAGTCTGAGTATATTTAAAGTAGAATTTGATATGTTTTTGATTACCCATGACGTAAATGGGCATTGGGGATACTACGAGTAAAGGAAATGAAGTGTTTGATCAGCCACAAACATATTCAAATGGCAGACCAGACTTGACAGGATGAATGGCTTGCTGTTCTTATGCAAACACAATAGGGCTTCTTCAAAAAAGTATCAAATTCCACCTGAAGTCCTTCCATTTAGTCAGAAGTAATAAATATAAACAAGACTAGATAAACAAGATAAATTTTCTCGCTAAAACAGTTTGCTTTGATACCTTCAGAAATAATAGACATTGTCTTCAGAACAAATATTTGCTTCTCAGCTTGGGTAACTGTTGAAGCATCAGATGCACTTTATTCTTTATGCAGCTTATCCTTAAATATTACCTCCGTGATAATGAAGAAGTCATCGCCTGGTTCACCCTGGACCACAATTTTCTCCCCATCTTCAAATTGGACAGGTTCCAGTGCGTCAGCCACAGTTAAACGTTCCCATTTGTCCAAAGATTCTACAAAATGTAAATAAAACTCCACCTTAGATGGTTAATAAATGTATCTTTCAGATAAAATTCCTACCATTGATTCATTGCAGGTTTTTGTCATCTTATTGTTTTAGATAGAAGGCAGGTTGTTGGAGGTGGGGTGGATGGGGCACGGATGGTGGAAGAGATAAATTATATCATGTTCAACAAAACTGACCTCAAAGAGCTACTGTAACGTTCAAATTTCTTGCATTATACATTCTCACTTACATAATCATAATTATCCCACTTCAAAGTATGCAACTGATCGTATGAGAAGTAGCTTGGAACATTAGAGAAACATAATATATCACTATATAAATGTGATCTTTCTTCTGAAGCACAATAAACAAACATTGAACCAAGGGTTTTTGGCACCCAAGATGAATTAACACCCCTTCCAAACCATAACAAGACCCTAGCATTTGACTGTATGGTTGGGTCAACCCCAATTACACTGACTGAAAGGGAAATTAACCACCATAGATCACAGCGCTCACATCAACCTGGTGTACCAGACAAGTTTTTAAGCCACAAAAATCACGTTTTGCATTTACTCAGCATACAAGTTAAGCCCCCTTTTAGTCATAGCATGCTATACTCCCATCAGTAGTAAGCCTCAATTTTTCACACCATAAATGTATATTTTACTTACTAGCATATTGTAACTGGCTACAAAAGTATCAACAAGGCAATACTGTTGCGAAAGTGGGTAGAGTACTTGTGGATTGGGAGGCAGGAAGTTAGCGTTTTACAAACAGAAAATTCTAGGAGGGAAAGCGTTGTGTGGTCCCTTTTTTCTGTGCTTAGAGATTTAAAATGGATGTCTGTGAGCAGCAGCTTGAAAGTTTGCAAGTACACAGAGGGCACCTAATTGAAACATTTGTTTCAAAAGGCCGTACAGCTAGCAGGTCAAGCAGCAGTTTTTAACCATAACAGCAAGTTTTGAATTTAGTCAATCAATTTGAACCAGGTACTTAGATACCAAAAACCAATTAAATTTAACTCTGATGGTTTTGACAACATAGGACCAATGCTATTGTAAGGAAATTGATATGTCATCAAGGGTATAAAAGAAGGAGGCAGTTGGACAAAACCCCAGAGCCATCCGCCAGGGCTAATTCCACAGCTCTCAAGAGAGAATTGCCGGCCCTCTCAGCCTCCTCTAATTCTTAAAGGAAGCACCATCTAAATAACAAAGGTACCCATGGCACAACTAGTTAATATTCGTGACAGAAGAATCGACAGAGAAGCATTCCTGACTGAAGAATCGATGGAGAAGGCATAGAACATTCCAGAAGACACAAAACCTGGCTGTAATTTTGAGAGACTAAATTCTATATTTTTTATTTTAGAAGGGATTTATTCAGTTTATTGATAGTTCAGTTAATTTGTTCACTGTTAGAGTTAGATAAATAAATCGTTACTTATTGATTTTTAAAACTGAGTGTCAGGGATTTATTTTATTTAACCACAAGACGCTGCTGAAAAGCAGGTTACACTACTCCTCAAACTCCTTTCACAGATTATAGGGCGAGGTGCTCCTCTTTGGGTGTTTTGGTTTTAGTTCTTGGGCGGGGGGATCCTCCGCTTTGTAACAATATGGATAGTGTTGAAAAGATGCAGGGGTCATTAAGACTTAACCATACTAAGTAGGAACTCCTACTTGTGCTGATGATTCCAAGGATAGTCATATGTAGGCATCAGTGTCCATTGAAATCAATTTTATTTGAGAATGATGTGATTGCACAAGTTAGATAATTAACTTAATTCATAATTTTGCCACAATCCACTTAAACACTGGAATCTGACCTCACTAGTATCACCTGTAGCAAATTAAATATTAACAAGCAAAGTCCATTATGAGCAATGCATATCATTAAAGGTGAGGGGGAGGGAGAGAGACTAAATCAAAATGGAGTTGAAGGGGGAATCTGGGTCTGCTTGATTTTGTTTTCCTCTTCTACCCAGAAGTGTTATCACACACAAATGAGTGACCTTCCTACCATGAAAACAGCCATGATATTTTTTCTTGCATTTTCTTTTAACTAATTACCACCACCAGTAAAAACACTCATGTCGCCAACCGAATATTTACAAGCAAAGCCCACTGGGTTTGCTCTACTTATTTTTAAGTGCTCAGGTAATGAGTTCCAATTGGGCAGGCCACTGCCTGTTACCAAGGGAAATCATACTCAACAAGCTCCACAGAGAGATCGATTAGTGATTCCCCAAGGGCCTCGTAGAGGTCATCACATCCCTCCCTCTCCAAATTCAATAGTTTGTCCTCGCTCCTGTGACAATAAGGCCTCTTGTGTAATTTTGCTCATGGCCCCATTTCTGTTGCTTTCTGGGTCTGGTAAGGGGAATATAATAAGAAGTAGGCATACATCTCATCCACAAAGACTGAAGAGCCATTGCAGAGGGCTTGTCCTCAGTGGTAACCTCCCACTCAGTTTCCGTCATTTTCTTTGTTTCCATCTCAGAGACTGAGCCCTCGTAGTCCTTAGGGCTGGCACTCAAGCTTTCAGTGGGCTGAATTTCATGACCACAAGTTGGCACAAAGGATGCTGATGGTAGCAAGTCCATTGAAACAATTTCCTCTGCGTAGGATTTCTGCTGACAGATGTGGTCAGTGTGTTTTTTTTATGCAGTCTTCTCCCTGATTTTAACCGTGTACAATGCCAGTCCCATTCTTTTTTTTTTTAAAAAGGATAACTCCGAAAATCCATGGAGAGCCATCCCCAAAGTTCCTCACATGGGCCTTATCCTCTGGTTTGAATCTGTCTGGCCTATATCCATCGTGGCCCTTTTTTAGGCTTCTTGTTTTAATTAAATCTTGCTAGCCAAATTTGGGAAGTCAGACTAAGCTTAGTCCAAAGGTGTAAGCCCATTAATAGTTCCACCAAGGCTACTCCCGTCATCATATACAGTGTTCTCCTTTAGTTGAAGAGGCAACATACAAGCTTGGTAGACAAAGAACCTGCAGTTTGATTTGTCGTGCTACTTTTGAAATCCTGGACCCCACTCAGCCAAACTATTTGAAGACAGGTGGTTGGGTGCTGTGCAGATGTGCCTCACTTGGTTTGTCTTCATAAAGGTCTGAAACTCCCCATTGGGAAATCAGGTCCTGTTATCTGTTATAAGGACATCAGGTATACCATACACAGTAAAGGATCGACAGAGATTTTTATGGCGTTGTAAGAGATAGTAGAGGCCATTCGGTGCATATCAACTCATTTTGAAAGGGTATCAATAAGGATTAAGAAAGTAAAGCCCACAAATGGCCCTGTGGAATCTGCATGTACTCAACCCAGGATCTCCTTGGTCATCCCTGTGGGTGCAATGAGGCTGCTGATGTGGCCTCCTGGCCCTCCTTGCAGGTTCTGCACTGTATGATCAGGTTTTCGATATCCATGTCTATGTCAGGCCACCAAACATAGTCTCTTGAAGGCATTTTCAGTTTAGAAATTCCTATACTCTCAGTGTTCCACCAATTTGCCCAGTCTCATCAAGAATTCAGTAACTGGTTCCCCAGGAAATTTACTTGCTGTGTTAAACATGTAAAGCTGCAAATTAACAAATAGTTTGGGGTTGAGTCAGGGCACCACAAGTGGGCAGGAGGATGATTTTATGTTGGTGTCCCCCTTCTATCCTGTTTGTCTAAAAAAAGTATCTTATTCCTTCAGAGTACTAGGATCAATCCTCCACACCCACATCATAAGGTTCCAGTTTCCCAAACAGCAGCATTTTAAACATATCCCTGTCATGGTCTTGCTGGGTTCGTCATTGGAGTTATTTCTCGAGCATTCTTAAGTGAACTTGAAGCACAGATCTCAATTAAGTACAGGAGTGTAGTGACAACTGTTCTGTACATGTAGATTTTTGTTGACTTGCAAAAGTCTTTATTGTCAAACACATGCTGGCATAGTTTGTAGAAGGGCGAGCTGGAGACCTGATTCAGTGTTGGACCTCCTCTTCAATGGTGTCCTTTTGAGAAAGCTGGCTGTCAAAGTGTGGGAAGTGTTTAACATATTGCACAGTCTCTGTTTCAAAGGTAGAATATTTGACTGACCAGATCTGGAGTGGTAACTTCATTTTAGAAACATTCAAGGACAGTCTGAATTTCTTGTAAAGAGAATTGAAGGGATCAAGAAGTCTGCAAATCCAGTACAGAGTAGGCAACAACACTGCAGTCATCTGCATACAGAAGGTTTTGTATGTCTGTGGTGGTCAGTTTACTTTTGGCACATGCGTAACTGCGTTTTCTGAAGTTTTTCTAACTAGGTAGAATTTGATACTCACACCAGAGGGAAGTTGATTTTTGATGCGGGGAATAACCACTGAGGTAAATTGTCACTAGTATGGTACATAGTATTACAATCTTATTTGACACCAACCTATATTTTAAGGCATCTGTTTCAGTACTCCCACTCAAGACAGTGCAGTCATATCATGATGTGGTTGCAGGACTGTGAAGACATTTCTTTGTCTTCCAAATCTCTGGAGAACAATCCAAAGAGCCTTGAAATATGCTGAAACAAATGCTTTAGTCAGTTTTCTTTTACATTTTATTTACTCACAGAATGTGGGTGTCACTGGCTAGGCCAGCATTTATTACTCATCCCTAATTGCCCAGACAGCAGTTCAAGTCAACTACATTGCTGTGGGTCTGGAGTTACATGTAAGGCAGACCAGGTAAGGATGGCAGATTTGCTTCCCTAAAAGTCATTAGTCAACGAGATGGGTTTTTCTGACAATCAATTATGGTTTCACGGTCATCTTTAGACTCTCAATTCCAGACTTATATTGAAATCAAAATCCACCATCTGCCATGGCAGAATGAAAATCCAGGTTCGCAGAACAAGTCCCTAGGTTTCTTGATTGATAGATTAATGATAATAGCACAAAGCCATCACCTGCCCGCTTTGAATACCCTTGATGAACACAAAGAGTTTTCTTGGTGTTGGATTTGCCTGGTCACAAAGACCACATCAGACATTTCTCACAAAGATCCATAGACACTTTGGGCTCAATCTGAACAGAAACTGGCTAAGTGATAATTTTAATAAGTTTCATAGAAGATTTCTCTTTGTGAGCCCTAGTTCGGATGCTCATACTACTCACTGAAACTACTAGCGTTACTAGCTATGCATCTTACCTCAATGATGGCCTGCTTATCTGGTCAGTCCTCTTGCAAAGGCAAAAGTACTTGCAACTGCCGGGACCTCTCAAGATTCCCAGTGCTATATTTAAACACAGTTGTGCACCAGGTAAAGTGCTGTCTGCCCAGAGCTGCCCTGCACTGTTCCTATGTGTGTGAAGAGCTGCCTCAGAGATGGAGGATTACAAAGGTGAGTTAGCATCTCAATTTATCAGCAGTGGATGGAGTGGTGCAGAGAAAGCCCGTCCTATTCAGCTATTCCTTTGTTTATCTAGAGAAGACTGTGACCGTTCGTGTGATGATCCTGAAACGTCTATGTCCTGACAACCAAGACAGGATCATCAACTGTTGTTGCGCTACTCCCTCATTAAGACCACTGTAAATGTATCCTTAACATACCCAAACCTCTAACCCTTGTTCATGACTCATTCTCTCTTTTGTCTCCTGCAATAGTGGAAGCTGCACAAGTTTGACCCTGAAGAGAGTACCCCCTTCAGACATCTCTTCCTACTCCTCCTCAAAGGAAGCCACAGAACTCTGAGGATGCATTTGCATAATTGCCTCCTGCACCCTTCAAGTGCAGATACTGACATCTTGGTGGGTACTTCAGCTAGATTACAATCAGCAGCGCATGTTCATGAACATACAACTATCACATCTCCATAGCTGGTCAAGGGAGAAATGCTGCAGGTCACTAGCATTTGGATAACTGACGGAGACCTGGCTCAGGCAGGAAAGGACCCCAGGGTGTTGGTTATTAACACTTTAAACAAGAGCATATACAGACATAGAAGCATCAAGCAGGTTTGGGAGGCAGTAGGCAAACTGGCTCAAAAGTTGGTAAGACTCCACCAACTGTGATGGAAACCTGAGGTTGTCAAATTGCACCTTTCTACTTCGCATGGTCAGCATATCTGTTTCTCATAAGATGACTGAGGTTAACTTTTACACGTTTTCAAGTGCACTGAACTACCTTTTTCCTCAGCATTGTCATGTTTGATTCAGTTCATTTCGATTGAGAGTAGTCACGGAAAAGGACAAAGATAAAACAGGAAGACATATTCTAAACTCGGGAAAAGTTGATTTTACTAAGCTTACATGTGATTAGCTAAAAGTGAAATGACAGCAGTTGTATGAAAGTAAATAGTGTTAGATCAATGAGAAGTGTTTAACAAAGAGGTAATGATAGTTTTGAGCATTCATGTTTCTAAAATGAAAAAGCATGAGACTAATAAATCCAGTGCCCCCTGGATATTAAGAAGCTTAAAAGAGAGAGGGTTAAAGTTTTTAATAGATGCTAAGGGCTCAATACTGCAAAAAATCTAGAGGAGGAATGACATAAATCAAAACAGGCAAGGAAAGGCAAGAGCATTAAAAAATATTGGCAAGGAAAATCAAGACAAATCACTATCACAGCACTATCACATAGCTAAGGAATCAAGGTTTTGTGTCAGTGTTTTTTTTTCCCCCAAATGAAATTTGCATTCTTCCAATAGTAATTGATCATTGGGGATTACATTTTTGGTTTCCTCTTATTTTTGAAGGACAAGAACATGACCAAATTTCTTGGTATCTGAATAATCAAAGCAAAACACAACATTAAATAAGAAGTTAAATTGACCTTCAAGAATGCCTGACAGGATTACAAAATCAGTAAAAGAACAAACACTGACCCACTCATTCTTTATTACTAGTTTGCTCAGCTTATGGAAAAATACACAAGAGGGTAATACTACCATCATCCTGGGAAAAAAATTCTCATTTGCTAATGAAGTGAAATAATGAGTCACAGTCTGATGTTACAGACTAATTACCACACAATCTTTCTTTCCAACTTCCCACATAAGATTATATAATCCTTACATCGAGTCCACACCAACCCTCTATACAGCATTCCACTCAGACCCATCCGTGTATCCTATCCCTGTAACCCTGCAATTCTCGTGGCTAATGCACCTAACTTGCACATCTTTGGATTGTGGGAGGAAACTGGAGCACCCAGAGGAAACCCATGCAGACACGGAGAACGTGCAAATTCCACACTTGGCAGTCGACCGAGGGTGGAACAGAAACTGGGTGTCTGGTGTTGTGAGGCAGCAGTGCTAACCACCAAGCCACCCTGCCACCCCATTACATGAATGTCTATTTGTATTAAAGAACTTGAATCACTTTAAATACCTTGCAGGATAGAGTTCAGACACTAAATTCCACTGATGGTGGTCACTGAGTGAAAAGTTTCCAAATGTCAGCCACTTCACATTTTTGTGTGCTGTTCTACAAGGGCTACTTAAGGTCAGTCACAGGACAGTGTTTTTTGGCCCTTGCGTAAAACGCTTAGGCATGAACAAAGACTTATCTCCAGACAAACTACATGTGTGGCAATAACCAGCATTCACACAGTTGACAACTGACCCAAAATGGAGACCTTGCTCAGGAATTCCTCATACATCTTCCGCTTTCTCAGTGTGCTACCCTGATCAAAAAGAAAGAATATATGGAAGTTAGTTGATTTGAGTAGATTTGTTTCAGCAGCTGTTACTTATTTTCTTTTCAGCAGTTAAAATCTATCCATGTGCTACGTAGCATATAAGCCATGAGCAAGATTTTTGGTAAAATACACAATGCGTATTTTCAAAGATGACAGATTTCTCTGGATAAATGTGCATCTAGTTTAGTATTATCCAATGTGCTATGTTTTCATGTCATAATTGATTTCATTCAAACATTTTGACAAGAAAATATTCAGTCAATTACTCCTGACCTCTTTTCAATTTATTTTAAGTTCATCTCATCCATACAAAAAAGTAGTATTCATTGTGTTCAATTAACACATATTAGATTATGAATAACAATTCAAGTTTATGTAGGCCGGTCTCAAAACACTTGCTAGACGTTCAAAAAATAAACTGTTTTCCAGAATGAAAGCTCCTCGCCAAAACAGTAATACCCTCAGAAAGCGATGGAATAAAACTGAATTTGATGTATTCAATCACTGTTAATGGCCCTGATTATCAAGAATAGCAAGCCCTATGTAAATTATAAATAAACTCTTGTTTTCTATTTTCATTCAAAAACAAAGGGATCACTGAATGCAATTCTCCCAAAACATCTGGAATCCCAAGTGATAAAACAAAATTTGACATACGAGCCACCTTAGCAGCCCTGCTAACCTTAATTGTATATTTGAACAATTACACTCATTCATACAGGGCAGCAAATCTTCCCCAAACAATAGAAATGAGCGATTGTACAAGGTTCACTTATTCTAAGCCTCCTTTACTTACTTAATGCATAAAACATGGTATGTCATCAGGCTGCTTCTAAGGCTAAAAGAGATAAAGCAGTATACCAAAGTGTCACAGCACTGATGTTTTAAATTTTATGAGATTAGACAGGTTGTACTCATCCTTTGAACCTGAATACCCTGAAGTTATTCTACATACTCCTGTGTGCATACGTGGTTATTATAATGTTTTTAATATTGCTTTCTGACCAAGGGAGGGTGGCTGAGGAAAGATACCACAAAAACATAGCAGGTGATAATGCTGATCCAAAATTATACGGAAAAAGGAATTGTGGTCACAAATTTAATTATTTTTAATAAACTAAATGTATTGTGTTTAACAACTCTTTTACACAAGAGGAAAATATCCAAAATATTTCCCAGGTTTTGTTTGTTATTGTGAAAAAAACATACATCAAGCATAGTTCAGCATTTAATTATTTTTAATTCCATACTTAGAGTCTCAAAGAAATTAAAACAATGATTCTTTTTATTCCCACTGTTGAATTTTAGTATATCCAACATAATGTACAAAATATTAGAATACATTCTTGTATGGCGTCGAATTACTTCCCTCACCATTCTTTTCCTTCCTAGCTTTTAAATTACACATCATGTAAGCCACAAAATGTAAGCAAGTACCTTCTCTCCAAAGCCTCCACTACTGCCATGAAGTAGGTGAAAATGGTCCAGCAACAAATTTTTATTCCAATGTCTTCACTCGAAAGTCACCTAGCATCCAGATTGTGAACATTATTAAACTACATAGCAAATCTGTCTCTGATAAAATTCAGCTCTACATCACCACTATCTCTATCAGTGCCTCAACTGCCTCTGTGCTAGAAGACTCAATTTCCTTCAGCTTCACGTTGGTAGGGCTGAATTAATTACTGCAAATCACCACAGAATCCGCTCCTTTACCACTAACTTAATCCCACTAGTGTCTATCTCAGGCTGATCCAGATCCTCACAATCTTAATGACCTGCGGTAGTGGAAGTTGAAATTTGATATCTTCTTTGTCATAAGGATCACTTACTTGCATTTCCGTAACATCACAAAACTTGAATACCTTGTGGCTTAACTACCACAACACCTTCCTTGCTGGTTTCCAAAAACCTTGCACCCTCGATACAGTTCAATTTTTCGAAAACATATGTCCTCTTCTGCAACAGGGACAACTTGCTCAATCATACCAATCTGTGCTGATCTACGTCAATTCCACAAACCCAATGGCATAAATTTAAAAGCCTTTTTGTTGTCTTTAACTCCCTGCATGGCTTTACCTAAACCATCTCTGTAAATTCATCCAGCCTTCAATCTATTCTTCTGTTCCCCATTTGTCTCTCTGTATTCTTTGATTTTGGTCTCATTCCTCTCTTCCATTTGGGCCCCATGTCATTAACCTTCTCCACCTCCATCACCTACTTCAGAATCCATCCCTTTGGCTAAAATTTCAGGTATAACCTGTTCCAAGGGATCTCCTTTCCAAGTTTACTGTTGGCTTTCCACAGCATGAAAATGGTCATTATGTTAAAGGTGCTCTAAAGTTGCTGTACATACCAGTTCCTGGTATCATGCACTGATCAATACGATCCACTATTATAGCAATACCCATTAGATTAGAATAATAATAATGGAGTTATACATGAGAAAAATCCAAAAATCCACAAAATGTTGCTCTTTAGCAATTTATAGAAATTAACATGATTGTTTTTAAATGTAACCTGACTTAGCAGCAATTGCCATACAGCCAGGAAAGCAGTTTTTTGCAAATTTGAAGGCATTTGATTTAAAAGGTTTAAAAATAAAAATGAGTTTGGACTTAGATGTGAAGGATAAGCCTGCAAATTTTCACTCCTGATGGGCAACTTCAAGGAGGGTGCATCATTCATTTTGGTACACTTAATTGAACGGCTTCATGAAAATACAGTTTGAGGCCCAAGTTCCAATGATGACATTCCCTGCTGAAAGTGCAAAGGTAGGAAGTTATCCCTATAATGAGAGCATTTACATTTCTGAGGTTCATGGATAACACTACTCAAAGGCAACTGATACTGATCCATTCCACAAATTTTCTTTTTACAAAATAATTGAGAAAATGAAAGAACATTCTTCTGGGTGCTCCAGCAAATTTTAATGAATGGAAATGTGAATATATGGTATTTTTAAAGGTGGAATTTCAAACAATATATGAAGTGATTTAAAAACGTATCAAAAAAGAACTGTAACTGCATTCTCGACTTTTGTTTAAATACTCCCTCACATGACGTATATCAAGTTTTCAACTCTGGATCAAAGCCCACAGAATGTGAAAATATTTTCAGCATGCACTTCTTCTACTTTGTCCTCCAAAAACTCTGGGTTGAAAAATAATCACATTTGAAATCTGACGCTAATTCTAAAATAGTTATTTTGTCTCTTCACTTGAATAAGGATTTGTTAAACCAAGAGGTAGGAAACGTTAACATATGCCAGAACCTCTCCACCGTCTTTCTGTAATTTTATATTAGAAAGTAAAATGAAGAAGCTCAAAATTCTTGTAAACCAGTTTTTCTCCCTCTTGCCCTTTGTGCTAAATACCCTACCTTTGTCAGATGCTTTCCATTGAAGATAGATCAAGATTTATAATTTACTGTTTAAAATCTTCCAAGCACAAACAAGCATGTAACTACTTAATTGCAAGAAAAACCGGTGACCTATCAAACTACATCACTAAAAATGATCATTCTTTCACCATTGATATTAGAAATCAATACTGTTATGCTTTGCCAGAAGAACTATTCTCTGTACAGAAATGGCTTTCAGTACTCATTTGTTTCATCTTGTATCAATAAATTCATTTCGATACTTTCACATTTCTTATGGTCTCCTGGTAGGGCCTGGTTGTACAAAAATGAAAAATCTGAAACTACGCAGATTACAGGCAACAGACAAAACCCAAAGAGCAAGAACAAAAAGCTCTTCACAGCGCGAAAAGTCATTGTAATTTATTTCAGAGTTTATATTATAATTTAGAAGGGAGTGACTTCAATTTTACGCAAACTTACACAATCAATGTTTCACATGTATTTTTACACAAAACCAACCAACAATTTTTCAGGGACCAGGATAATTTGTTTTTATACTGTGCAATTTTTTCTATTTACGATGCCCAAGTTTGGGTAATATTGAACACAAGTGGTAAGTTGTTTGCAAATAAATATAATGAAACAAATCCAAAATATTCTGCACTCATCCAAAATTATAAGTTGATTAAATTTTGCGTGTGTCAGGAATTAATTGAAAAAATATTAAAATTGTTATTCACAATAACTTTCGGCTTCAGACTAGAATGATCTTTCTTAATCAACAGATCCCTGAATCTGTAGTAAAATGAAAAATGGTGAAGTAATTTAAGACAGACCATTAGAATGCGCCTGTAGCTGTCTCTGTCAATTCCCCACAGCTTGAGGTCTGTCTTGGCCTTGACAGTTGCGGCTCTTGGTGTGCCATAGATCAGAGCAAGCTCTCCAAAGCTGCCACCTTCTCCAATGTTTGTAACCCATTCTCCATTTACATAAACCTATGGAAAAAAAAACATGTCAACCACGTCATCTCTATTTTCTTCTCTTTCAACCAGGTAAAACACATTGATATTTCTTCTTCCAATATTCTTACTTGGGGTAAAAATGGAACTACAGACCCTTAGTTTTGTTTGTGAAACACAACAATGAAACATTATAGCTTGCCAAAAGGATTTCAAAATCTGGCTACTTAAATGTGAAGATACAACTTCCTTTTTAAATTTCAAGCTTGCATGGTTTTCTAAACCCAGTTATTTTGTATTGCATTTAGAACATATAGGATCAAGAAACAGAACAACCAGAATGTTTTTAAATATTAGAATTATCAAAACCAATAAACCTGATGCTATTTAATTACATTTACATATTATTACTACCTTTTATTTAGAAAAGACAGATAGAAACTAAGAAAAATACAATATTTGTCTGTGCAAATAATTGCACATCACATCATGAAGTCCCTTGCTATTGTCAGGCACATTCTCATAGGGATTAGATAATCTAAAGTAAACTCCTGAGATTTCGGATGTCACCCAAATCTTCCCAAGGCCTTATCAGTGGTCCGTGGCCTCTGGAAGTTACACCCTTTACCATCATGTGGATATGACTTTAATAATAAAAAAAAGATAATACTCCAAAATGTCCACAAGTACAAACATAAGTAACCTTATAAATTATAATTGAGATACTTCTTAGCACCACTATGTTTTTCTGACAAAATGTTTTGTTCCATGAGATCTTCAAGATGTATAGGGAAAGATTACTTAATAGGATGTTTCAATTAAATCTGAAGTACACAATTACCATGCTCTCAATTTTATTATCTAAACTGTTTCCTTCCTGAAGGTAATAACCTCTTGTTTGAAGTGTGATATTGGAGGATTAGTTTAATATAGATACTAATCTTGCACTTGATCACAGTGCTAAAAGACTAAACGATATATGTTCTTAAAGGGTATCTTGAGAGGCATATTCAAACACATATCTGTAGGATTCGAGATACATTCTATGTCACAGTCCTCAGAAATAAATGAGTGAGAACTTAGGGACAAATTATTGCTTGACTCTTAAAACTGGATGCTTAATCAATTGTTGCATTAGGGCGGACAATAGTTTAAGATAAAGATTTCCCCTCTATACCGAGCATCATCCAAATTTAAAAGAGCTTAAGTTCCATCTGGCTCTCCGGTTGTCACCTACGCAGATTTAAGCCATATTTAAACCTTAAGAAAAGCATTATTGTTCAATTCCTACCTAGTGGTCTGCAATATCAGGCACATCATAACAACTTTGTTCCCAAATATGAAGGATTACATTTTTATTCATATTTTACTATTAAAACTGAAATCTGAAAAATAATGAATCCCACTTCAGTACATCAGCAGGCAAACTCAGGTCATATTAAACAACAGTTTAGAAAGGCTCTATATTCAATCCATGGATTGCACTGGTGTCATTGACCTCAGCTCAGCTAAAGGTTGGGCATTAGAATTGGCCTTAGGATCTGCACAAGGAAAAGGAAAAAAATAGCGGTCTCTTCCTATCTGCTTGATACTTTGTAAGCATTTCTGAAAGACCAAGTGAATGGATGAGTGATCTTATGTTTCACCTTCCTCCTATAATCTACATATTTAATACCAAAAGTTTAGTCTAGCTTAATCACTATTACTTCATTAATTGCACTTTTTCTGACATTTTTCAACTTTGGTACTTTCTATTGACCTTTATGTCGCTCAATTGGGGGAAAAAAAAAGGCACATCTCATTAGCACATTGTTCCTGACCATTTCGCATAAATTGTCCAGGTGTTGAAAAGGAAACAGCTCAAACATTACCACTGCAAGGTCTCCTAGCTCAAACAGATTGCCTCAGCTCAGTTATAATTACAAAATTAAACCCAGAGCTTGATAAATTTTTATCACATAACTTTTGCTGATTATGAAAGTTAAGAGTACGGATTATCAGCAGCAACATTTACATGATTGTAGTAGTTAACAACACTGTGAATGTCAGGCGCACTACTCAAAATTACAATTCTGCATTTCATTCCCCAATAAACAAAGAGGCTGATGTGTAAAATTTCTGATCAAGCAGTAAATATAGAAACAGAAGATGGGAACAGGAGTAGGCCATTCAATCCTTTGAGCCTGGACTACCATTCAATATTATCATGGTTGATCATAGAGCTCAACACTATAACCCAGCTCTCCCCCAGATCCCTTGACCTCTTTAGCCACAGACCTATATCTACCACCTTCCTGAAAACACAATGTTTTGGCCTCAGCCATTTTTTGTAGTAGTGAATTCCACAAGCTCACTACTCTCTCAGTGGTGACCCTGTGGAAGTTTCAGTTGTGAGCCTGAATAAATGTCTCCTTATCCTAGTCCAAAAAGTTTTACTCCATATCCTTAAACTATAACCCCCTGGTTCTGGACCATCAGGAACATCCTTCCTGCATCTAACCTGTCGAGACCTGTTCAAATTTTCTAAGTTTCTATGAGATCTCCCCTCATTTTATTAAACTCCAGTTAACACAATCCCAACCGACTTAATCTCTCTTCATATCCGAGTCCTGACATCTGAGGAATTAATTTAGTAAACCTTCACTGCACTCCCTCTATGATAAGTGGATCCTTTCCCAGACAAGGAGGCCAAAACTGCACACAATATTCTACATTTGGCCTCATCAATACCCTGTATAATTGCAGCAAGACAGCCTTGTTTCTGTACTCAAATCCTTACTTTGAAGGCTAACATACAGTTTGCCTTCTTTACTACCTGCTGCACCTGCACACTTACTTTCAGCATCTGGTGAACAAGGACAGTTTACCTTCTCATTTCACAGCCATTCAAATAATAACCTGCCTTTCTATTTTTGCTAACAAAATGGATAACCTCACATTTATCCACACTATACTGCATCTGCTATGCGTTTATTCACTCACTCAGCCTGTCCAAATCACATTGCAACATTTCTGCATTCTCCTCACAGGTCGCACTTCCACACAGCTTTGGTGTCATCAGCAAATTTTGAAATATTACATTTAGTTCCCTCATCTAAATCACTTATATATAGAGAGAATAGTTGGAGTCCTATTACGGAGTCCTGCAGTACCCCACTAGTCACTGTTTGATATTCAGTAAAAGACCCACTTATTTTTACTGTTTCCTATCTCTAACCAATCCTGTATCCATCCAAAAAAAAAGTTCAGACTTTAATTTCACACATTAATCTCTGATATGGGACCTTTGTCGAAAACCTTCGAAAAGTCCAAATAATCCACATGCACAGGTTCCCTGTGATCAACACTACTAGTTTCATCCTTGAGGAATTCCACTAGATTTGTCAAGTAGAATTTCCCTTCTGTAAATCCATACTGACTGTGTCTGATTCTGTTTGCTAAGTGCACTGTTGTAAAATCCTTAATAACGGATTCTGGTATTTCTCCCACGACCAACTTCAAAGTCACTGAACTCTAATTCCCCATCTTCTCTCTACCATCCTTTCTAAATAGTGGGATTACATTAACTACCCTCCAATCTATAAGAACTGTTCCAGAATCTGAAATCTTAGAAGATGATCCCAATTCTAGGGTTACTTCTTTAAGTACTCTGGAATGTAGATTTATTAGGCCCTGGGGAGTTATCAGCCTTCAATCCCCATCAATTTCTCTACTAATACAGATTTGCTTCAGTTCCTCCTCTTACTAAACCCCGTGTTCCCCATCATTTCTAGTATGTTATTTGTGTCCTCCTTTGCAAAGGCAGAAGCAAAGTATGAATATAGTTCATCAGTTATTTATTTGCTCCCCATTATAAATTCCTTCATTTCTGACTGTAATGGACCTATATTAGTTTTAACCTCTGTTTTTCTTTACATACCTAGAGAAAGTTTTACAGTTAGTTCTTATGTTTCCTGCAAGCTTACTCTCATACCCTATCTTCCCCTTCTTAATCAAACCTTTGATCCTCCTTTGCTGACTTCTAAGCTGTTTCCAAAACTCAGGTCCATTGTTCTTTCATGCCAAATTGTATACTGTTTTTGCGTCTAATACTATATTCAACTTCCCTCTGTTACCCACAATTTGGACACTGTTCTGTGTGCACTCAGAGGGACAAATAATTTTTGTAGTTCACCCATTTGCTGTTTGAATGTTTGCCTTTGACTATCCATTGTCGTTCTTTTCAGTAATATTTCCCAGTCTATCATACCCAACTCACACCTCATGCCATTGTAGTTTCCCTTATTAAGATTCAGGACCCTAGTCTCAAAATCAACTGCCTCATTCTCCATCTCGAAGAAGAATTCTAGCATATTATGGTCACTTATCCCCAAGGATCTCTCACAACTACCAAATATCTCTTTCTTACTGCATGATACCCAGTTCTCTAAATGATTCCTCAACATATTGGTCCAGAGAGCACTCCTGTATGCATTATAAGAATTCCTATACTGTAGTATTGTGACAGATTTGATTCTTCCAATGTACATGCAGATTAAAGTCACTTATAATTACAGATATTTGTTTACTGCATGCATCTCTGACTTAGTGTTTAATACCACTCCCAAACATCACCATTACAGTTCGGTGGTCTATATACCACATGCACTAATGATTTTTGCCCCTTAGTATTTCTCAATTCTACCCACACAGATTCTATATTGTCTGAACTAATATCATTCTGTAATGCATTACAATGCATACATGGTAAGACCAATGAATATCAAAACTGGACCTTACAAAGTTTTGTATTTAAGTTTGTAATTCTTTGCAAATGAAGAACTTGTAGAGTTACAAATTTATAGGTGAAAGTAATTTCAATTCAGATCCATTCAAGAACGGGCACAGCCTTTGCTTGAAGTTGGGTAAATTCAAAACAAATTTCAAAATACTTTTATTCAACATGGCACATTACAAGTCAGCTCTACAAAGCAACAATTTAAAGAGATTACATCATTTAATCAATATATTTTAATGCATAACTGAGACATAGCATGGCATGAGAAATGTAAAGATTCGTGGGGTGTTAACTGGCAATAAGGTGAAGTTACTGCAACAACATCTCGTGGAAGTGAGTAAAATACATCAGACATTTGAACATATTAAAACAATGAGTTTGTACTATGGTAATTCTGTCCATTTTGTCATGGTGTAACTGCATTTATAACAGTGCTTAAGGTTCTTGTCACCACAGGACAAAATAACATGGCTCCTACTGAAATGATAAAGAGAGCAATTACAATAAATGAGTAGATGCAAGGATTGGACTACAAGAGTGATTATGCAAATCCAGTATATTCTCACTGGAAAAGTGAGAGATAAGGGATATGATTGCTCTTTTCAAGATTCCAAAGAGACAAGATAACATAAAACAGGAGTTGCTTCACCTAGACTAGAAATAACTGAACCAGGGGACACAGTCTTTGCTTGAAGTGGGCTAAAGTTTCAGTAAAGATTTGTAGCTCGGGTTGTGGGTTAGGTTGTTGACTTGTTCACCGAGCTGGCTTGTTCTCGTTCAGATGTTTCGTCACCATGCTAGGTGACGTAATCAGTGAGGCCTTCGATGAAGCGATGTTGTTCTACTCCGCTTGGAATAGAAACTGTCCACTCCGTTACGGTGAGTTGTGTCATTTCCGTCTTAGAGACAGTACAAGCAGAAAGCATTGAATCACTAAAATGCAAATTACAGACATTTTTGAGGAAAATAAGTTATGATTATATAATCTGAACTTTGAGCAGTAGTATGGTTGGGAGGAACCTGGGCTTCAAATCTATGATTATCAAAGTTCTCTGCCACTGGGGTTTTCCTTTTTTGATGTCTCGGTCTGCTGTAGACTAATTGCTCAGAATCAGTGCTATGATTTGTTGAGAATGTTAAGTTTTTAGTATGAGTTAGCAGGTGGTAAATTTTGATAGACCTTGGTTTTTTTTGTCTAATTGTAAAGAATTTTTTAATATAATTCTGTAATTAAAGTTACTGTGTAGTAACTGTACAAAATACTTGAACACTATTACGGTAATTAACTATGATAATTTGGTTTAATTTAGAATTGCATGATTTTACAATGAAGACCAATTCCATATGATCTCATTGCAAATAATTTAATAAGCAAATAAAAAGGGTCCTGTAGCATAGTGGCAATGTCCCTATATTTGAACAGGGAAGCCTGGGTTCAAGTCCCACCTGTTCTAGAGATGTGTAATAACAAGTTGATTTAAAAAAAACACGGCTTAGCAGATACTGATGTGACCTGCAGAAAGTGATTATATATGTTAAATTGTTTCCTTGCACTGAATCAGAAGTCCATGAATAGATCATCCTGGCTCAACAGGTGCAGCATGTGTTAAAAAAGTCAGCTTTGCCGAGGTCAATATTGCCTTCAAATATTCACCAATGGCACAAAATACCAATGCATTATTCTACATATATATATCCATAAGCATTACTTTTACTCACCTTAAAATGCACAACAAATCACAGGTATTTAAAAGTATTTTTAAAAAACTTACATCAACTTCACCCTGGTCGATCACATAGAAATTGTCACCCTCGTCACCTGAGAACAGAAAGAGCAACACATAAAGGTTTCATTTTAAAATATATTTAGATAGGAAAGCTTAAAATCAACAATTCTCTTCACAACACATTGCATTTTAGGATGTTTTAGTTGCTACGTCAAAAGAGTACATGTAATAACAAGCTAAAGAATTTCTTGACAAGCATTAAAGATATCCTAAGACCTCTTCTTTATCTGAACCAAAAATTTTCTTTTCTCAAGTTTCAGAGATAAATTATTGTCTTGACTTGAAAACCAAAAAAGAGTCTGAGAAGGCTTAACAATTCCCTACTCAAGCTCACAGACTCCGAGTTTTCAAAGGCATAGCTCTACAGTTGTCAGATTTGTTAAGACTTTAGATGTCCAGTTTAATCCACCTCCACTTAGCCTCATCTTTAATAGTCAATCTTCAAGTACCAGTACTTTGTTTAGTAGCAGAACCACAAGGCCACTTTTCCTTTCAGTCACCCTCAGACTAAGACTCATGACATCTATTTAACCCTAAATTCCAATATTTCTGAAGGAGTCTAGATTTTCAAAACCTAACATGCTGGACTCATGCCTATTTTTGTCAGCCGAAAATTTGGCTCATGTACAAAACAGAAAACTTTGTAATGTGTCTACTTTTCTTGTTTAAATAAAGAATAAAATAGAATTCCTTATTGTCTTAAATTTCTTCCATCAAAAGGTTGGCAAAGTATGTTGAAAAATGGAAAGATTTTGAAGAAAACTTACATTTCATATTTTTCATCAGTGTTGATCTAGTTTAGAACCTACTGAAATGCAAAGTGCTATGCTGTAATATAACGTAAAGTATTTATTAATTGTACAGAAAATCTCCCACTGGTGCAACAAGTACTTGTATTTGTTCAGTATCCTTTGTAGGTTACTTATGTTTGCTACAATATGATTCACAAGGCAGTGTAATCTAGTGGGCACACAGAGTAGCAAGATCAGACAGGGGAATCAACTTTTCACAATGAGCTGTCAAGTTGAAAACATTGAAAAAATATGATAATGGCTGATGGCTGAATAAAAAAAGTCCTGTTCTTCTCAGGGTGGTGGACGTGGACTTGAGAAATGCTGATTGTAGGTCACCCCTGCACTGATACAAGTCTTGTCAAGTTACTGTAGTGAGTTAGCACTTTGTAGATGATACACACTGTAGCCATATTGCAGTGGTGTAGGAGGGAGTGAATGTTTAAGAAAGTGGATGAGGCACTGTTGAAGCAGGCTGTTTTGAACAGTTTGGCTCCTCGTTACTAGTTACTGCCTCTTGACACTCCTCATTAAAACAATATTAATTAGCTTTTAATTCAAATCTTATTTAATTTGATGAATTTAAATCCCTCAACTGTTATGGTGTAATTTGAACAAATATCTCTTGAACATTAAGCTAGACCTCTGGATTTGTAGTCCGTTAACTTATCAACTATGTTATCCACCGGCTTTAATTTATTAACTCACAAAGACCAATTAATTTTGCTCCAGTTTAATATCTCCAAAGATTTCCCCACCACCAATGTCAGGGTGAGTGGCATGCAATTATTGTTTATTCCCCTCTCCTACTTTTGAATAGAAGCATAACATTCGTAATCCTCAATTTCTCAGCTATTATTCAAATAAGGAAAAACGAAGGCAGGAGCCAGAGCTTCTGAAACTTCCATCTCATTTCCTTTAGCAACTTACAATACATCCCACTGATTTGATGACTTTTCCACTTTGAACTTTGTTGAACTTCAGTCCTTTCATTTAATCCTGCATTCTCCTTCCACAACATCATTTTCTTTGTGATCCCAAATTAGCCGCCCTTTTAATTGTTTGTCATTTTATATATCAGTATACCAAATAACTTATGTTCCCTTTCACATTCCCCGTTAGTATGAAAATAAACTAACTCTTTGCTCCACCAACTCCAATGAGTGGGAACTTATAAGTAATTATAAACTGTGAGAAAGTTACTACGGAACTCCAGAAGGACATAGACAAATTGGTGAAGTGAGCACATTGATGGCAGATGAGTTTTCAATGAAAAGAAATGTGAAGTGATGCATTTTGGTAGGAAGAACAGTGAAAGACAATATAAAATAGGGGGCATGCTTCTAAGGGGGTACAGGAACAGGGCGACCTGAATATATAGGCTCACAGATCATTGAAAGTGGCAGGGCAGGTAGCAAGAACATTAAATAAAGCACATAATGTACTTGGCTTAATTAGCAGGGGCATAGGGTACACAGCAAGCAGGTGATGTTAAAGACGTAAAAGACACTTGTTAGACCTCAGCTGGAGCATCGTGTATAGTTCTGGGTGCCACATTATGGAAAGGATGCGAAAGCAGTGCAAAGTGCAGAAGCGGTTTACAAGAATGGTTCCAGGGATGAGCAATTTTAGTTCTGAGGATAGATTGAAGAAGTTCAGACTGTTCTCTTTGGAGAGAAGAAGGCTAAGAGGAGATCTGAGAGAGGTTTTCAAAATGATGAGTGGTTGGATGGATAGTGAGAAACTGTTCCCCTCATAAAAGGAACAAGAACAACAGGGCACAGATTTAAACTGATTTAAAGGGTTGAGCTGCAGGTGCAGATTCTAAATTTTCTTTAGAGAGAAGAAATGATCTTATTATCTCCATAAGCTGATGTTTTGGACATGAAAATATTGTTGATACTTGTTCATTTCATTTACCATTATATATTTGGAGCAAGATATCATTATGATTACCTAAAATTAAATGTTTTCTTGATAATTACACAGAATCCCTACAGTGCAGAAAGAAACCATCCAGCCAATGAGTTTGCACCGACACTCTGAAGAGCTCTGGTCCAGACCCAGCTTCTTACCCTATCCCCGTAACCCCAACCATGGCTAATCCACCTAGAGTGCACATCCCTGGACACAATATGGCCAATCCACCTAACCTGCACATCTTTGGACCATGAGAGGAAACAGAGCACCCAGTGGAAACCCACGCAGCCAGGTGGAAAACGTGCAAACTGCAATTAGACACTCACCCAAGGCTGGATTCAAACCTGAGTCCCTGGCGCTATGAGGCAGCAGTGCTAACCACTGCATACTGACTGAAATTATTGAGTGGAAGAATTACTGAAATTTATGTAAAATTTAAAACTATACTGAGATATAAAAGGAGACAAAAAAAGTGTACATTTTTTTCCTTTATGTTTTCTCTCCATGATAAAGGATCTACTGGAAAATAAAGTAATACAACAGTAGAATAGCAGTAAGAAATCCACAAATAGATAAGAAAATGCAAAATCATTTGAAAGCCAAGTATCAGCTATTAATAGTACTGTTAATAGGAAATAGACAATGACACATGGGCAATTGCTGTCTGATGGTTGCTGAGCTCGGAGTTGGGACAGAAGTAGCTCCTAATAGCAGTTTTCCTGACTGAGCAGTCCATTTCAGCAGCCCCCCCGTTCGCCATATTTGAAAAGGGGATAAGAAAAAGGGGCCTCAAGTATAAGTTAAGTCCCAAACTGACCTCAACAGGAAATGATATCCAGTGGGATCACCATCATTGCAACTAAAAGCACAGGTATCTTTTGTACCTGGAAGGTGCATATCCTTGTGGACAATCAAAACAATGAACACTTTGAATGAAGAACCATCATTGTATGTTAGCAGCTTGCAAGATATAACATTGGTATTACTGTCCTCAGGGAAACCAGAGCCACCGCTCAAAGCCAGCTTAGGTAGGAAGGAAGGAGGAGAATACACTTTCTTCTGGAAAGGAAAATCAGAACAAGATTTTCATATTCACTGAATTGGATATGGCAATCAAAAATAGATCTGCAAATTGTTACGTTCCCAGCTGATGTTGTTACCAGCCAAGTCAGATCCCAGACAGGCATGCGGCTTTATAGATCGTATTTAGATTTGTTTAGTTTTAACAAAGTGATTTCTCACTGAATCACGGGTATGTAATTTTACTTGAACGTTAGAAGTTTATTAACAAAAGAAATGAATATAAATAGAATCAACCAAACATCTACTTGCAATACAAATTCAAATATTTTTAAACACAATAAAAGTATAGACACAGTAATTGCAATACTTCTTTACAAATTAAAATAAAAACAGAACTGAAACAAAAAGAAAACTGAAAAAACAAAGAAAATTTAAAAAGAAAGCTCTTCTACAGTACCCGAAACACATCCCCAGTACAGTACCCAAAACAAAACACAATTCGTACAATACTCATACCAGAGTCCCTGTATCTAACATCTTGGTAGGTTTAGGCTATCTGTGACTTCTACTTTTAGACTGGAACCACCAATATCTTCCCAAAACTAACGTACGCATGCATCAATGCAGTGAGCTTTAAAAAACTCTGGAGGGCAACATTTCTAGTCTCAGACCAACACTTATTCTTCACTCTAAGGTAACCTAGTTCAATATATCTTTCCCTTCTCAGAAGCACAGGTCTACACAGCCATCCTATTCCAAACAGCTCACAGGACTATCAAAACCTCAAAGTAATCTCTCCCTCTAATCTACAGATGTTTCCCTTAAGCTTAATAAAAGTTCCAGAAATCTCTAACAAACCTTGAGGCTACATTATTTAACTTACTGGGTCATAAAACAAACAAAAGCCATTAGTGGTTCACACGAATCCATTCACACTAAAATAAGCCCTCAAAACAGTTTTAAAAGAAATCACCAAGGCTACAAAAATATTTATGAGTTAATAATTATCTTCAGACACACAGAAAACTCAGCAGTTAATAAGTGAACAACCAGTAACCCAAGAATATAATAACTAACATTATATGAATCCCATAGTTTACATCACAAAATATACTTGTAGAAATTCCAACTGGCATTAACTAACATATCATCCTACATATTCCACTTAGGGAGGAAACCACTGGGCCACAGTGATCAATACTTATAAGACCATAAGACCATAAGACATAGGAGCAGAAATTAGGCCATTCAGCCCATCGAGTCTGCTCCACCATTCAATCATGCCTGATAAGTTCCTCAACCCCATTCTCTTGCTTTTCTCCCCGTAACCCTTGATCTCCTTGATAATCAAGAACCTATCTATCTCAGTCTTAAATGTACTCAATGACCTGGTCTCCACAGCCTCCTACAACAGTGAATTCCATAGATTCACCACTCTCTGGCTGAAGAAGTTTCTCCTTATTTCCATTCTAAAAGGTCTTCCCTTTACTCTAAGGCTGTGCCCTCGGGTCCTAGTCTCTCCTACCAATGGAAGCATTTTCCCAACATCCATTCTGTCCAGGCCATTCAGTATTCTGTAAGTTCCAATTAGATCCCCCCTCATCCTTCTAAACTCCAATGAGTATAGTCCCAGAGTCCTCAAACGTTCCTCATATGTTAAGCTTTTCATTCCTGGGACCATTCTCATGAACCTCCTCTGAACCTGCTCCAGGGCCAGTACATCCTTCCTGAGATATGGGGTCCAAGACTGCACACGATACTCCAAATGTGGCCTGACCAGAGCCTTATAGAGCCTCAGTATTACATCCCTGCTTTTATATTCAAGTCCTCTCAAAATAAATGCCAACATTGCATTTGCCTTCCTGACTACTGACTCAACCTGCAAGTTTACCTTGAGAGAATCCTGGACTACAACTCCCAAGTATCTCTGTGCTTCAGACGTCTGAATTTTTTCCCCATTTAGAAAATAGTCCATGCTTTTATTCATCTTAAAAAAGTGCATGACCTCACACTTTCCCACATTGTACTCTATTTGCCATTTCTTCGCCCACTCTCCTAACCTGGACAAATCCTTCTGCAGCCTCCCCACCTCCTCAATACTACCTGTCCCTCCACCTATCTTTGTGTCGTCTGCAAACTTAGTCAGAATGTCCACAGTTCCTTCATTGAGATCATTAATGTATAAAGTGAAAAGTTGCGGTTCCAACACTGATCCTTGCGGAAGACCACTTGTCACCGGCTGCCATCCTGAGAAGGGCCCTTTTATCCCCATTCTCTGCTTTCTGCCAGACAGCCAATCTTCTATCCATGCTAGCACCTTGCCTCTAACACCATGGGCCCTTATCTTACTCAGCAGCCTCCTGTGCGGCACCTTGTCAAAGGCCTTCTGGAAGTCTAAGTAGATTATATCCATTGGCTCTCCTTGGTCTACCCTGCTCGTTACTTCCTCAAAGAATTCTAGCAGATTTGTCAGGCATGACCTCCCCTTGATGAAACCATGCTGACTTTTCTCTATTTTACCATACACTTCCAAATATTCAGAAATCTCATCCTTTACAATGGACTCCAAAATCTTACCCACGACTGAGGTTAGGCTAATCAGGCTGTAATTTTCCATCTTTTGCCTTACTCCCTTTTTAAACAAGGGTGTCATGTTAGCGATTTTCCAGTCCTCTGGGGCCCTCCCTGACTCTAACGATTCCTGAAAGATCACCAGTAACGCTTCCACTATCTCTTCCGCTATCTCCTTTAGAACTCTGGGGTGTAGTCCAGCTGGTTTATCCACCTTCAGGCCAATCAATCAGTTTTAATAGCACCTTTTTCTTGGTGATGGCCACCATACTCAGCTCTGCCCCCTGCCTCTCTTGAATTTTTGGGAGATTACTTGTCTTTCACCGTGAAGACTGACGTGAAGTAATTATTCAGTTCCTCAGCCATTTTCCATGTTCCGCACTACTATCTCTCCACCGTCATTTTCAAGTGGTCCAATGTCCACTTTTGCCTCTCTTTTGCCCTTTATATATCTAAAGAAAGTCTTAGTCTTTTTTTGTTACCGTCTGTTGGTCTTTGTAAGCTTCCCAGTCCTCTGGTTTCCCACTGCCCTTCGCCACATTATATGCTTTCTCTTTTGCTTTTATACTATCCCTGACTTCTTTAGTCAGCCATGGTTGCCTCATCCTCCCCGTACCATGCTTCTTTTTCCTAGGGATGTATTTTTGCTGCGTCTCCTGAATTATTCCCAGAAACTCCTGCCATCGCTGTTCCATGATCTTTCCTGCTAGGCTCCTCTTCCAGTCAATTCTGCCCAGCTCCTCCCTCATACCTCTAGTCGCCTTTATTCAGCTATAATACTGCTCCTCTGATTCTATCTTCTCCGTCTCAAATTGCAGAGTAAATTGTATTGTGTTACGGTCACTGCCTCCTAAGGGTTCCTTTACCTTAAGCTCCCTTATCAAGTCTGCCTCATTGCACAACACTAAATCCAGTATTGCCTGTTCCCTTGTGGGTTCCACCACGAGCTGCTCCAAAAAGCCATCTCGTAGATACTCCACAAACTCCTTTTCTTGCAATTCACTACCAACATGATTTTCCCAGTCCACCTGCATATTGAAATCCCCCATGATCACTGTGACTTTGCCTTTCTTACATCTTTTCTATCTCCTGGTGTATCTTGCGCCCCAGATCCTGACTACTCTTTGGAGGCCTGTACACAACTTCAACTACGGTTTTTTTTAACCTTTGCGGTTCCTCATTTCTACCCACATAGATTCTACACCATCTGACCCAACTTCGTTTCTTCCTATTGATTTAATTCCATTTCTCACTAACAAGGCAACCCCACATCCTCAGCCCACCTGCCTATCTTTTTGATAGGATGTATATCCTTGGATATTCAGTTCCCAATCCTGATCCCCTTGCAGCCACGTCTCCATGATGCCTACCACATCATACCTGCCAATTTGAATCTGTGCCATAAGCTCATTTACCTTATTTCTTGTACTGCGTGCATTCAGATAAAACACCTTCAGTCCTGTATTATCCCTCCCTCTTCTCATTGTCATTCATTTTTCCAGAGTTTGATTGCTAGACCTTTCCTAACACTCTGTCCTATTTGTGTGTGTGCTGGAGACTTTAATAACCTCTCCTGAGTTATCTTTTCACAGGCTACATTAATAACAAATCCAGAATTATTTTATGTAGATCTGGATTTTGCATTGGCAGTCATCCCAAGACAAGCCAAATTGATGCTTTGGAGAAAGTTTAATGGCAAATTTGCCTGCAACTATAATGGCTAGAAGGATACCACTGGGAATGGAGGAGGGGGTATCAAATGCCAATATTCTTCTCATTCTCACCAAGTGCATAAACATGATCTTAATATGACAAATATACTCTCTTTGGTCAGAAAGTTAAATGCAAGACAACATGGAAACACCACCGTCCCCCATCTGACAGCCCATGCCTGGGAGGGTGGGATGATGTGCACATCATCTAAGCCATGTGAGATGCAAATAACTAGGCAGACCACAAACTTCTATGCATCATCATGAACATTCACTGTGCATTCAAACACTGAAAACCTTCAAAGAAATCTAGGATTATTCTTCCCTATTCATTTGTGGGATGCGGGCATCACTGGCTGGCCAGCATTTCTTGCCCATCAGAAGGTGGTGGTGAGCTGCCTTCTCGAACCGCTGCAGTCCACCTGCTGTAGGTTGACCCACAATGCCATTAGGGAGGGAATTCCAGGATTTTGATCCAGTGACAGTGAAGGAACGGCAATATACGGATGGTGAGTAGCTTGGAGGGGAACTTGGAGGTGGTGGTGTTCCCATAGGTTTGCTGCCCTTGTCCTTCTAGATGCGTGTGGTCATTGGTTTGGAAGGTGCTGTCTCAGGATCTTTAGTAAATTTCTGCAGTGCATCTTGTAGATAGTACACACTGCTGCTACTGAGTGTTGGTGGTGGAGGGAGTGAATGCTTGTGGATGTAGTGCTAATCAAGTGGGCTGCTTTGTCCTGGATGGTGTCAAGCTCCTTGAGTGTTGTTGGGGCTGCACTCATCCAGGCAAGTGGGGAGTATTCCATCACACTCATGGCTTGTGCCTTGTAGATAGTGGGCAGGCTTTGAGGAGTCAGGAGGTGAGTTACTTGCCACAGTATTCCCAGCTGCTGATCTGCTCTTGTAGCCACTGTATTTATGTGGTGAGCCCGGTTGAGTCTCTGATAACACCCAGGATATTGATAGTGGGGGAATCAGTGATGGCGACACCATTGACTGTCAAGGGGTGGTGGTAAAATTGTCTGTTATTGGTGATGGTCTTAGCCTGGCATTTGTTTGGCACAAATGTCACTTGCGAGCCCAAGCCTGGATATTGTCCAGATCTTGTTGCATTTGAACAAGGACTACTTCATTATCTGAGGAGTCATGAATGCTGCTGAACATTGTGCAATCATTAGCGAACATCCCCACTTCTGACCTTACGATGGAGTGAAGGTCGTTGATGAAGCAGCTGAAGATGGTTGGACCGAGAACACTACCGTGAGCAACTCCCTGCAGAAATGTCCTGGAGCTGAGATGATTGACCTCCAACAATCACAACCATCTTCCTATGTGTCAGGTATGACTCCAACCACCGGAGAGTTTGCCCCCAATACCCATTGATTCCAGTTTTGCTAGGGCTCCTTGATGCCACACTCAGCTGAATGCAGCCTTGATGTCAAGAGCTGTCACTCTCACCTCACCTCTGGAATCCAGCTCTTTTGTCCATGTTTGAACCAAGTCTGCAATGAGGTCAGGAGCTGACTGGCCCTGGCAGAACCCAAACTGGGCGTCACAAAGCAAGTTATTGCTGAGCAGGTGTTGCTTGACAGCACTGTTGATGACACCTTCCATCACTTTACTGATGATTGAGAGTAGACTGAAGGTGCAGTAAACAGCCAGGTTGGGTTTGTCCTGCTTTTTGTGTACAGGACCATACTTGGGCAATTGTCCACATTGCCGGGTAGATATCAGTGTTGTAACTGAACAGCTTGGCTAGGGGAGTGGTAAGTTCTGGAGCGCAACTCTTCAGTACGATTGCTGGATGGTGTCAGGGCCCATAGCCTTTGCAGTATCCAGTGTCTCCAAACATTTCTTGATGTCACATGGAGTGAATCGAATTGGCTAAAGACTGGTATCTGTAATGCTGGGAACCACTGGAGAAAGCTGAGATGCATCATCCACTCGGTACTTCTGGCTGAAGATTGCTGCAAATGTTTCAGCCTTATCTTTTGCACTGATGTGCTAGGCTCTTCAATCATTGAGGGTGGGGATATTTGTGGAGCCTCCTCCTCCAGTGAGTTGTTTAATTGTCCACCACCATTCAGGACTGGATGTGGCAGGACTACAGAGCTTAGATCTCATCAGTTGGTGGAGGGGTTGTTTAGCTCTGTCTATAATTTGCTGCTTTCGCTGTTTGGCATGCAAGGAGTCCTATTTGGTGGCTTCCCCAGGTTGATACCTCATTTTAAGGTATGCCTGGTGCTGCTCCTGGCATGTCCTCCTGCACTCTCCATATGAAAGCAAGTGTCAATAACAGTTCTAATCTTGTTATCTTGCTCTGACAAGATCAAGCCTGTGAACCAAGAGATGCACTCAGGTTATTATATTTGAACCTCGCAGTCACAAAGACTGAGTCAAAGAGAATGGTCAAGAAATATGCATAATTTTGAATTGGAAAAGCTAGCATTCATTATGTCTTCATATTAGCCTACACCACAGTGGACAGGAAAAGTATATTTACAACTCAGTTCCAAAGTGCAGAGAATTAAGTGTCACCAAGAATATGGGTGAGGAGTAAAGGCCTACAGTGTCTAATGCTACACAGATTAATACGATAGAACTATCTTTGTAGCTTCCCCTGAAGACTTCCCCAGGATGATGCAGGTGCAACACCAGGCACAGCTAAAAATGAGGTATTAACCTGGTGAAGCTACCAAACAGAACTACTTGCGTGCCAAACAGCATGAGATCAAGTGATAGACAGAACTCAGCAACCCCACAACTAACATTTTAGATTTAAGATCTGCAGTCCTACCACATCCAGTCGTGAATAGTCATGGACAATTAAACAAAGCACTGGTAGGACAAAGCTCCACAAATATCCCCATTCTCAATAGCAGGACAGCCCAGCATATCAGTGCAAAACATAACGCTAGAACATTTACAACAATCTGGACCCTTCTTGTAAACTTTTGACATTGGTACCTACTTTTAGCAGGTGTCCTTGGAGATTAAAGGCTTCATGTTGGACAGCAGAACTAACTGTTTCTATAGGTAACTAAAGGGTCACGGCCATATCTTGTTTCCTGTTTAAGTAAAGTAGTAAGCTGGGTCTAAATTGTAACTTCATTCTTCCACTGGCCAAAAGGCTCATTTTCAGCAAACACATGTGGGCAATTGAGCCCTCAAAGTTTACGTTTTGAATCAACCTTTTCTGATTACCAGATCTCCATGTTCCTACAATCTATTCAAATCCAATTAACTCAATTAATATCAATGACCTGTTCCCTCATTCCCTTATGTCTCAGGCATTCCTTCTGACCATTTTAGATGATAACATTGACTGAGTTACAGTCAAGATTCTGCTATTCTGCAGTGCTGCAGGACCTAATCAATTCATCTAAAAATTTACATAGGGCCTTGGTTTATTATCTCATTCAACAAAACTGCACTTGCTCAAAGCAATCAAGCCTCTCAAGCAGAGATTGACCAATGACCTATTCACACAGAAGTGCGAGTGCTACCAATGATGTAAGGTTACCCCTGCATCTCCTAAGCTGAACCAAGAAGAGATGAATGAAATACTGGAAGAGCTGTCTGCACTTGGTAGAAATTGCTACCTTGAGGAGAAAAGGCAAAAAAAAAGGTAAAAATAAAGCTGACCCATATAACTAGTGAAGGAAAAATAGACAGCCTCCTTCAAATTCTCACAGAGCATTACCTTGTTGAATGACGGTTTCTCCTGCAATGTGGGTAACTGGAAACATGGCATCAAAGATATCACTGCAAGGGAATGAAAATGGAAAAAAAAAATTAAACAGTTTGAAACCTTCATAACACAAAATTCAGATTTCCTTGGCAAACTAAACACTGATCATTGAAATAATCGTTTCAATTTCTAAAACAAAAGTTTTACATCATCAAAATTTCACCCTATTAAAGCATTATTGACAGACTTTTTCAAATGAATGAACATAAAATGCAAGATCCTATCAACTATACCATTTGGCTCAGCCACACCTCAAAATGCCTTCCACATTGCTTAAATGTCAACTGTCTCTACCAATTAAGATTCATTGCTAATAAGTACATCCTTCACTAACATATAGAACTGTTTCAAATCCTCTCTTGAACGTATAACTTTTTCATTATTTACATAACAGTCAAATCATCCAAACATATCGCATGACAGTCACTGGCAGCGTCCCTTATTCTTGCAAGAGAAGGTGATACACAATTGAAGGCTGCAGCAGTTAACTGGAATGGGAGCAGCATGCTGGTATGTTCTAAGCTCCGTGTAGGAAACAATTTCGGTTATTATGAGAAAGATCATTGCTAAGTTTATTGCGAATGGCAGGATGGAAATCATTAAAGATCTTGGTATCATCATACTGAAACCGGCATCTCCTATTCCACTTCCTCTTCATCCCTTCTGATTTACATGATACAGCTGGGACAAGGATAATGAATTAATAATGCCTCTCCATTAAATCCTGCTCACTACAACTTTAGTTTTGGGCCTTTTCTTTCAGATGATCAGGAAGTGAAGAAATATCAAGGAAGCAATGACACAGATACAGAGTACCAGTTCAGATAATATTGCACATATCTTAGAGAATAAATTAGAACTGTGATCTGCATGTGGTGAGACACTATGCGTGCTCTGTATCTTAAGCAAAAGACAAGGATAACACAGGTTAATGCCTGCTGGAGAACAAGGTCACCAGTTCTATTGCAGAGGTCTTCAGCAGGCAATCTTTAGAAGACGACTGACCACACTCATAGAATCAAGAGACACATAGCACAGAAACACACCCTTCAGTCCAACTTATCTATGCTGACCAGATACCCTAAATAAATCTAGTCCCATTTGCAAGAATTTGGTCCATATCCCTCTAAACCCTCCCTATTCATATATTCATCCAGCTGCCTTTTAAATGTTGTAATTGTACCAGAATCTACCACTTCTGCTGGCAGTTCATTCCATTTCATCTGCGTGAAAAGGTCCCTTTTAAACCTTTCCCCTTGCGCCTTAAACCTATGCCCTCTAGTAGTCGAGTCCCCTGCCCCAGGGAAAAGTCCTTGTCTATTTACCCTATCCATGCCCTTCATGATTTTATAAACCTCTGTAAGGTCACCCCTCAACCCCTGATGCTCCAGGGAAAATAGCCCCAGCCTATTCAGCCTCTCCCTGTAGCTCAAATCCTCCAACCCTGGCAACATCCTTGTAAATCTTTTCTGAACCCTTTCAGGTTTCACAACACCATTCCTATAGCAGAATTGCACACAGTATTCCAACAGTGGCCTAACCAATGTCCTGCACAGCCGCAACATGACCTCCCTACTCCTAGACTCAATGCACTGACCAATAAAGGCAAGTATACCAAACACCTTCTTCACTAGCCTATCTACCTGCGATTCCACTTTCAAGGAACAATGAACCTGCACTCCAAGGTCTCTTTGTTCAGCAACACTCCCCAGGACCTTACCATTAAGTGTATACGTCCTGCCAGTATTTGCCTTTCCAAAATGCAGCACCTCACATTTATCTAAATTAAACTCCATTTGTGACTCCTTGGCCCCATCTGATCAAGATCCTGCTGTACTCCGAGGTAACCTTCTTCGCCGTCCACTACACCTCCAATTTTGGGGTCATCTGCAAACTTACTCACCATACCTCCTACGTTCACATCCAAATGACAAAAGGCAGTGGACTCAGCACCGATCCTTGTGGCACACTGCTGGTCACAGGCCTCCAGTCTGAAAAACAACCCTCCACCACCAGCTTCTGTTTTCTACTTTCGAGCCAATTCTGTATCCAAAGGGCTAGTTCTTCCTGTATTCAATGTGATCTAAACTTGCTAACCAGTCTACCATGAGGAACCTTATCGAACGCCTTACTGAAGTCCATTGAGGTCACGTCCACAGCTCTATCCTCATCAATCCTCTTTGTTACTTCTTCAAAATACTCAAATCATGTTTGTGAGGCACGATTTCCCATACACAGTCAGGTTGGCTGTCCCTAATCAGTCCTTGACTTTCCAAATACACGTAAATCCTGTCCTTCAGGATTCCCTCCAATAACTTGCCTACCAGTGATGTCAGGCTCACCAGTTTAGTGTTCCCTGGCTTTTCCTTACCACCTTTCTTAAATAATGCCACCACATCAGCCAACCTCCAGTCTTCCGGCACCTCACCCGTGGCTATCAATGATACAAATATCTCAGCAAGGGGCTTAGCAATCACTTCACTAGCTTCTCACAGAGTTTAAGAGTATATCTGATCAGGTCTCAGGGATTTATCCACTGTTATGCATTTTAAGACACCCAGCACCTGCTCCTCTGTAATATGGACATTTTCCAAAATGTTGCTATTTATTTCCTCACATTCTCTATCTTCAATATCCTTTTCACTAGAGACAACAAATGCTTGGTGCATTGGAAAGTTTACCAGAAAGCCTTGGATCAATGTTATGACTGAGAAGGGAGAAGTGCATTGTCTTCCTACTACTTTACAGATCACAACATAAATTTGAGTATTGCTGAGAAAAGACCCATTTTGTTGAAGCTTTTTGTCTTGCTTTCATAATCACAATGTATAAGAATACCAATTTAAGAGGAAAACCACCATTTGGTGAGTGGAGAGTGCTGATTTGTTCGTGAGCAGACTCTGTTAGAGGTGTGACCATTGAAAATGCAGCAGTTAATGATAGATAGTTAACTGCCAGACTTGGGTTTAAATTTTAACCAGGTAACTTGATTCCTACTGATCAAGTCATTGTCCTGAGAAATGAACCATTTAAAAAAACGGCACCGTGCATCTACATATTCGTTCTCTCTGCCTACGAAGAAAAGAACCTGTATACTGGTATATCTAATTTCCAATGTATATAATCGCACCAAAGTGACAACACTAAATGGTTTGTTAGTGTAACTCTTTATGCATGCAGGATTGTCCAGCATATGTCCAATTGCAGAATCACATCTAAATGTTGGATAGTTGTTGGTTTTTAAAGTGCCAGCACCTTGTGTCTGATCAGTACCCTGCTTGTTGTGAATAGCCAAAGCAAAAATGCTACTGCATGTCAGACATACAGCCCTAAGATTGTCATCTGTGATACTGAAAAGTGCCCAGCATACCTCAGATTACTCATATGGCATCTCAATAGTTTGAGAAACAGGTAAAGCTAGCTGTTTCAGGTTCTTACTATGTTATCAACACAAATGGAGTTTGCCTCTAATCACATGATACTGTGACGCCAAATAGACTTTCTGCCTATCAATCTAATAAGCGACATGTTTCTATGAATTTCAGTGCTAGTGTAATATTAGACATGTAGACTGCATGTTCCAACGATTCTGACAGATCATATCAAACAGCACTTCCCTTTGGCTGTACACAAGAAGCAAGATACTCATCACATAGCCCATGAAATAGCAATCTATAGTATTTCTTAACATTTGGGCATCTGATGAACCACTATCCACTCTGTTCACAGATCTGTAATGACGTCTTTGTTTAGGATGTCTTTGTATTGTTGTACTGATCACTTCATGTAATTTACTAAGATGATTCGCTTAGGAATTCTGCACTTATCTGTGGAAAATGTGGCCTGCTCATTTAAGTTGAATACTGTGGAGATGCTGCAGTTCAGTGCTGAACCTCACTGTTTGAGAATTGTCCTGCTTGAACTCTCATGATGGACATCTAGTGCTGCTGATGGAGAAGATTCAGAACTTTGACGTAGCACCTTTTATAAACCAAGGATTTTGCACCATTCAGCATAACAGCAAGGACATTGGTCAGGTAAAGTTGATGCAATACTGTTTCTGACACAATCATGCAGAATGTACTTTCTGCATGTGCGCACAAATATTTGCCAATTACGAAATTTGTTCTCCAACCTTGAGAATGATACCATCAGCAGTTATATCTTGTGTTTCTCTACACATGCCAGATCCCAACTTTGGTCCTGGAAACTTTAGTAGCACAAATATCAATACTGATTGCTGTCTTTCAATGGCATTATCAGCATTGAATCCCACATGATCAGCATCCTGGAGTTGCCATTAATCAGAAACTGAACTACATCAGCATATCAATATAGTGGACATTTTCAAGACAGATTAATTCTCTTGATCACCACCTTCAGCATTCACTCCCTCCATCAACTGACAGTGGTGATTGCAGTCTGCATGATATACAAGATACTCTACAGTAATTCACCAAGGCTCCTACACTGACACTTGCTGAACCTGTGGCCTCTACTACCTAAAATAAGGGTAAGGGCATCAGAGGTATGTAAACACTACCACCTACAAGTTCCCTCCAAACCGTACACTGCTGACCTGGAATTACATTGCTGTTCCTTCCCTCTTGCTGTGTCAGAATCCAGAAACTCCCTGAAGCACTTTGGGAGTACTCCCATTGGAGAGACATAAGGGAGAACCAGTGGATGTGGTGTATTTGGATTTTCAGAAGGCTTTTGATATTGTTGCTCATAAAAGGTTATTGGGCAAAGCTAACATGCGGGTTAGGGGATAATATACTGGCATGGAGCAAGAATTGGTTGACAGACAGGAAACTAAGTGAGATCAAATGGATCTTTTCCTAAGTGGCAGTCAACGATTAGTGTATTAAGTCAAGTCTAGGAGAAGCTGGTATGTGTCAATGGCTTGAAATCTACAAGTAGTATTTCATCTTCCACTCCATTCCACACAGACTTTTAAAAATTTTAAACAGCATAAAGCACCAAAAATATGCAAAATTGTAGCAACATACAG